TTAGTTACTGAAGACGGCAACAATTTTTATTATTACAAATATACTTTTCTAAGATTAAAATTAGTCCAAACGGAAAACAAATTATTTTGAAGGGGCTATATTTATGTTAAATTATTGGGATTTCCTTCCTTCCTTTCGTGTAAAATTATTCGGTCAACCCTCAATGACCTGCTCATGCAATACAGCTGAAGACACCCGAAACACTCGAATCATTTGAAGACACCCGACTCACATTTCCCAAAAACATGGGTGTCTCAGATAATCCCTTCATTTGCTATGAGTGTGTCGGGTGTCTGTGCATTAGAATCATGTGCATAGAATTGAGTGGGTGACAGAAACGCAAACACTCAAAACACGCAAAGCGATCTGTGCACTCGGGTGTGAGCTCTTTTCTTGCTGTTCGTGACTGCGACAAACACCCGAAATGTATAAGTGTGATTCGGGTACCAAAAAAAAAAACCCCTGACGTTCTCTGGTAAGTACCTCTCCGCAAGCGTAATTGCTAGCATCTACTGCTATACAGAATTCTTTGTTGAAATCTGGGTATTGTAAGAGTTTTGGGCTCATTAAGGACTCTTCTACATAATTAAAGGCATCATTACAATCCTTGTTCTATTTGAAGTGGGCATTTTTCTTGCAAAGTTTTGTTATATGCCTAGAATAATATGCAACATTTTTTATGAATCTTCTATAGTAATTACAGAATGCTACGAAGCTACGAGCTTTTGGGCACTGGATAATTTTTAATTTCTTCGTATTTATTTTCATCTGGTAATATACCCTATGACCCAGTTAGGTAACTTCGTGCATAAAGCATGAACAGTTTTCTGGATGAAGTTTAAGGTTAAATTTGCGGCATAACTAAAATACTTTTGTTAAATTGCTGAACATATGTTGTTCGGAGCATCCTATGACTAATAGATCGTACATGTATAGGAACGCCTGTGATGGTTCTAGACCGGAAAATGGTAGGGCCATCATTCTCATCCGAATGGCAATCACGTCTAACGAAATGAACCTTTATTTGTAGAGAATGATGTAAGGATTCTGGACTTTTCGGACAACTCTATTTGGTGAAATCCGGACATAAGGTCCAAGCAAGAAAAGTATTTAGCACGACATAACTTATCCAATATATCATCTATGTGTGGTAAAGGAAATTTGTCAGCTAGTAATTTTTTGTTTATATGTCTATAGTCAACCACTAGTCTTCATCGATTTTCTGTTGAATTTGGTAGACATTTTTTTGGAAGCAACAATAATAGACTGTTATATTCTGAAATTGATGGTTCGACTATACCATCCTTTTTTAATTTGTCAACCTGTTTGTGTATTTCCGGCTTTTCACTTTCTGCATTAGTTCTTATATAGTTCTTATATATATTGGTGCTTTATGGCTTAAGCGAAGTTGTTATTTATAAAAATTGTTAGCTGATATCGGTTCCGTTTCAAGACCGAATATATCACTATAGGTTGTACACAGTTCTGACAATTTTGTTTGGAATTGAGACGGGAAACTTAGTTTTTTAATACTTCTTTTGTTCTATCATTACTGTACTTGGGTTTGAGTTCCTTGGGCTTTTGCATATCATAGTTTTCTAACAACTCGAATTTTATTGTATTAACATTTAAACTAATTGTTTCAGAGTTTGTATTTAGAAATCGGACTGTTGCACAACTCGTGTTAACCAATGTGCTCGGAACCAGCATACCTTTAAATGGTTATTGGCTCGGAATAAAAGCAGACGGTTCTTTTGAATTAATTTTTACTGTTCTAATTACTTCTGCTCTACATGGAAGTAAGAGAGTATTTTTGAAAACCGAATTGTGCATTGGGATTTGTATTGGAAAAGTCAAATTATTAGGTCTTAATACTAAAGAACCTTGGGAGTCTTGAAAATATAAGATACAGTTGAATTCTTTAATGAAGTCTATTCCCAGAATGCCATCGCATGGAATCGGAAAATCAGGTGGGACTATTTGAAAGTCATGTGGTAAAATGACATTTTTTGTTTTAAGTTCCACTAACGCTAAACCCAAGGACTTTGTAGAACCTTGTCCTATTCCCGTTTGATTTAAATTTTAGAATTGTCTAATTCGGGGTACTCTTGATTACATTGTTTTAGTAATGAAATCTCGGCTCCTGTATCTACTAACAATGTTAAATTTTTGTTGGTTTTTCTCTACCGTCAAGGGGTCCTCCTCGTTTTCCTGTGTGACCCTAACATTTCGATTATAGTTATTTCCGCGGTTTGAGGAGCTGTGGGTTCCTTGCGGTGTGTTGTGATAATAGCCACGGTTATTGTAATTGCCACGGCCATCTGCCCCGATATATGTTATTTCCTCGGTAATTGTTTTGTTTATACCGAATATTATAAAATAATACGGCGTTCGATTGCCCTGTTGCTTCGGTACAACTACTGACAAATTTAGTTACGGCTTCGTTCATATTTGTGAACGTTCCCGCCTGCATGATAAGATTTACCTTAATAATTGAGCAGTTTGCCTTCACAGCACTTTGGGTGCTATATTTAGATGTTAATTCTAGTGGTAAGCCATCGTTTATATAAGCTTGTAATGCTCTGGTCAGATCTTCTATTTCTTTGGCATATTCATTTGCTGGTTTGTTTTTTTGCTGCAAATTCATGAGTTTGATTGATAAAACCTCAACCGACTCTCCTTTGACTGATTCACCCAGCTTTGCCACAATTGTTTCTATTGTGTTTTCCTCTCCAATGAGGTTGCCCGCATATCCTTTTAATTTTGTCTTTATTAGTTGGACTGCAGTGTTTTCATATGATTCTTTTATTCCACCTACAAGCTCCAAGGCAACTAAGAAACTTCGTAGATTTTCTGCTTTGCCATTAAACTCAGAAATGAGTGAAGCCGCAGTTTTTTAAAAATTGAACATTGGTTTGAGCCATTGTTGCCTCTTCCAAGTTCTCAACTATGTCGTTAATGTTTTCTGTATCCACCTTTACTTCTGTTTTGCTGACTTCTAGTGGGCTTTCGAACCCTAAGAAATCTTCACTAGTATCTTCCTTAAAAATATCAGCCAACGAATTATCGTGGACATCTGTGTAGGCAATTGTTATATTTGCCTCTATTGGGTCTTTAACGTTCTCTGGTATATGGAAAACAATCTCATAATTTGGAGAGCTTTTCTTACAATAGATATAATCTGATTATGAATAGGTATTACTCGACTTTCATGACAAGTAGATACTGATTCTCGACTTATTGCTATCGCTCTTCTTACTTTGTTGGCGTTAATGATAATTTCGCCCAAATGTTTTTGAGCGTTTCTTTTCTTATGTGTGTATTTTTGTTAACACATTTATAACTTCTCAAAATCTCGGTCTTTTTATTAGCTAAGAATTTTTCTAGTCTAAACCATTGGCTACTCATTAGCCTGTTTAGCAATATTTATGCTGATTTTGAATTTAATGTTCCCTGCCAGCATTTCGTTGCGGTCGGTAACAGATTTAACTTTCACTTGAGGAATATGCCTACTTCTGTTAACAAACTCTGGGTATTCTATAATTACCCTGTCTAAAGCATCCTTAGTTGTTGACATTTCTCTGTACCGCTATGATAAAATGTATCCCTTAGTTTTAAAAGCTTGTATTTACTATATAAATTATTTGATAACCATATGAGTAATCGATTATAAATTTCCTCATGTAAGCTAAGATATAGAATATTTATATATGTATATATAATCGTTTTATTATTCCCCATGAAAAATGTATTTGTGTTTTTCTCTTTTTTTTTAAATTTTATCGAGCTCTTGGGATCGGCCCTAATGCTCTCTACACAAATATTCTCTTTTGATACATTTTTTATATAGATGAAATGCACTTTAAGCACTACTTGTACTACTACTTGTACTACTACTTGTACTACTACTTGTACTACTACTTTTACTACTACTTGTACTACTGTTTGAGGAGGTATGACATTATTCACGACCCATTTTTACATTTTAATTTGATTAAGATTTTTATAAATGTAGAGGGGATAAGATGTTTAGTGAACCTATAAATGATGTGGTTAATAAGTGCACTACTCGAGGTTGGGGTGAAAGTTCTAGTGAAATCCAACAGGCAGATAAGTAACAAAATCTTATCTTTGTGTGAGGAAAAACATCTACAAGCGGAGTCCCCACAGTCCTAACAAATGGGAGGGTGGTCCACAAGGACAACCTTAAGTAACCAAGCACAGATATCAAATCGTCAAATTGCTTGGAGACTTATTATTTTTTCATTTCTAGACAATTATCAATTATTATTATAGCTAGTTTTACATCTTTTTACACTATTTTAATTTCTTTTGATGGTGGGCGTCCTCATTATGAACAACTATAAAACATCCAATTTGCAGGTTTACATCCATATCCCTACTCTTCCTTCTAACCAGGACATCAGCACACGTCACCGACTACTCTCAAGCCAAATCTATTCCCATCATTGATGGTCGAATTTTAGTGTGATAAAAATTTGCATTCTTTAAGCACTCAGCAAACTCTCACAATATAGGCGCGTACAGACACAGACAGACACAGATAACATGAGCAGCATGTTTCCCCAGTCACATATGCACAAGCTTTTGAGCGTTGAAATCGCTCGCCTTCGCGACCTGAATTTAGAATAAATTAAATTTACAGAGCATCATCGTCGTACCTAATTACATACGCTCACGAAGTGATGCATCAGAAATATGTCAGATCCAAAAACTAGTTACGATTTTAATATTGTTTCTTAAAAATGATTGACATAATATGGATTATTCGAGGTTTGTGGATACTGAAATAGCCTTTTACTTCGCTGACATAAATGTATAGAAAATGCATGCATAGCACCAACTTTCGAGCTCAGATACCCTTTCGATACCCTTCACTTTTCGAATAACGGAAATAAAAATAACAGCAGGAAAACAGGCTGGCACAAAAAACATCTTAAAGACATAGGCCAAGGGCATGACAGTGACAAATGGTTTACCTGCTTTCTTGAGTTTCCTGATGTTAGGTGAGAAAGAGTCAAATTATCTTTAGAGACAAAATGTGCTCTAACATCTATAAAAAGATGTGCAGCTCTTTTATTTAAAACCCGTTCTTCAAATTGTTCATCGGTTTCATTTTCCATTTGTTCGTCACTATGATTCTGTAAAAGGAAAATAAATTAGAGATGAATATATTATGTATTATATAACTCGCATTGTTGTTCATAATTATTATTTAAAATCTTTAACACCTCAGCTGAAAATTTTAAAATAAGAAACATGTTAGTTTTTAAGTTATTAAGTTTTTTACTGAGATTATGAGAAGTATGCATTTAACAAGATAAATTACAATGGATCGAATTTTTTATCCCTTACTTGTAGAGTAAAAGGGTATATTAGATTCGTTGAAAAGTATGTATGTTTGATTTACCAAAGATTTTTCAAATCGGATCATTATTTCGCAATTTATGATCGCTATTATGTATATGGCTAGCCTCACATGGGCAGTGGACGTCACCATCAGTTACATGCCTTTTTTGACAAAAGGTGGTGCTCTAAAATTGTATATAACAGTAACGGGTATTTTATAGCCGCGGCACTCGATTATAGCGTTTCTTGTTTATTAATAGTCGGCATTTTTGATTATTTCTACTTAGGTTTAATTGTCTTGCGAATAATATAAAATGGTCCCCAATAGTCTACGTCGGAATATTATTTATATTACACAGCCGTAAATGATTTTTGAGCCATGAATTTCTTGTTGAGAAATTGGTGTCTCGCGATATCTCACGAAGTCTGCGAACCGTAATCGCCCTGAGAACTCCTCGTTCTCTATTAAGGTCGTCGAACATGCGCCTTCAAAGTTTTAAGTGGTTGACTAAGATTTTTGATTATTTATATTTTTAAAATGTTGCACCACAAATCTTTGTTTTACTTATGATTTTTGTAATCGAGAATAACATTTTGGCGTACACACAGTCTTCTGATAGTAATGGCGCACAGCCAGCATTCGAGCGTTTATATACGGTAGAGGCTGTTTTTTCGTCATTCAGGCTGACGCCTGTGATTACTAGGATAAGTTTTGGTAATTTTCCCTATGGGCCATTTACCAACACTAGTAAGCTTGCAGATTCTGGTCAGAAGCTTTTGTAAATATTTACTTGACCCTTGAAGTCAAAACAAATATTTTGACATAGATAAAAATTCTTACGGATTTATAAGTGTATTTCCTTATAGACGGCATTTATGGTACTTCATGTGCTGCTATAAAAAGTTCGCCAATTAAAGTGCCCAAAATTAAATGCTCTTAAATCCGTGGATTCAGTTGGCCTTGGCGTAACCAGGCGGAAGTTCACAATTGTTCCATTTTCGACTGTGTAATTAAATTGATTGGTCTTATCGTTATTTTGTTTTCCTTTCAGATTGTTAGGTCTAAGGGGTGTCAAACTGGTCATTGGTTTGGAATTGTTGTTGTAGAACCACAAGAGATTATAGTTTACTATCTAGCATAAAATTGCGCCTGGATTGCTACTGACTGGCTTTTGATTATTATCTTGGCCAAAAACCTATACTACCAGAGAGTCACTCCAGAAACTGGGATTCTCTCACCCTGTCTAATAGTTTGGGTGTTACGGTATGAATTCGATTCGATATAATAAAACTTATAACGGTTGACAAGCAAGCAAGTAGTTAATCGTGGAGTTGTAAGTACATTGCCCAGCGCAGCCTAGAATAACGTGAAGAAAATTATCAGTTTCCAAAAATTATATTATTATTACATATTTATATATTCTCCACGACAAATAACTGTTTCTAACCTGCATCGACAACACGTGTACACGTGGTGCAGTTATTAGCGTTTCATGCCATAACTAACGTAACAACCCCTCTTCTTAAGTTTGTCAATTTGTTAGCATGCTTAATATTAATTAATTATGAAACAATGATCACATTTAAAAAATCTTTAATTAATTAATATGTATTGATAACAAACAAGCTAGCAAACGCTATAGTCGAGTGCCGCCTATAAGATACCCTTTACTGTTTTACACAATTTTAAAATATTCATTTTGCTACTTAAAATTCCCCAAGCGCCACCTATTGTCGGGGAAAGAATGTTGAGTAACTGATAGTGACGTCAATTCCCACTTAGTTTTGTGATTTGTGGGCGTTAGTGGGTGTGGCAGGATGCTGTAAAAAACTTGGGCTGCCTAGGGACCTCAAGAATCTTAATGCTTAATCTCAACTTTGTATCTCTTATAGTTCCTGAGATCTCAGCGTTCATACGGACAGACGGACAGACAGACGGACATGACTCAATCGTCTTCGCTATTCATCCTGATCAAGAATATGTATACTTCGGAAACGCTTCCTTCTATCTGTTACACACTTTTCAACGAATCCAATATACCCTTTTACTCTACGAGTAACGGGTATAAACGCCAGTTTTACGCTGTTTGTAGACCGGATGAAAAACAACTATGAGCTCCGGTGGCATCTATAAAATATAGTCTCCTAACATTTTAGCTATTGTAGTTTCCGACATTATAGCGTTTTTGTTTTTCCACGGTTTGTGGACGTTAGAGTAAGAGTAGCCATATGCGCAAAAAAATAAAAATTATGACCTGGGAATGTTGGTTCTTTTGAATGGGATGGTAGCCGACAAACCACAAGCCATACTACTACAATCACACTCATGCAACCTAATAATAGTATTAATATTTTCACCAAAAAAAATAAATGTTACTAAAAGTTTTTTACCTACTTATGACCGTGACAGGTTCCCCGCGCGCATCAGATTAAAAAAAATTTGAACCAATTCAAAAAGGGGAAAGCTTGTTGACACCTGACATATAATTGAAATGGATTTGGGCAAGCAATAAAATGATAATCACTGAAATTCAAAATTGAATGCTAACCCACTATTTTTAATAGTATCAAATAAATAATTTTTAACCAAAAAAAAGTGTAGAGCTTACTAAAAGTTATTTACATACTTATGACCGTGACAGGTACCCCGGGCGCATCATATTTTACAAAAATTTGAGCCAATTCAAAAAGGGGAGAGCTTGTAAACACCCGACATATAATTGAAAATTGAATTTAAGCTAACCCACTATTTTTAATAGTAGAAAAAAAATAATTTGTAACCAAAAAACAGGTACTCCGAGCGCATCAGATTTAAAAAAAATCTGAACCAAAAAGGGAGAGCTTGTAAACACCCGACATATAATTGAAATAGATTTGGCCAAGAAATATAATGTTGAATACTGAAATTCAAAATTTAATCCTCACCCACTATTTTTTAAACAGCACAAATATGTCGTTTTAGTTACTTTTAACTATCAAAATATTTCAGTCCAGATTCAGTTCGATAATCAACATACTAATTAAAACTATAAAGTTAAGAATATTTGGAAAAAGATCATGATTTTTCACGTCGTGCGCAACCTCACCGTACTGCAACTTTAAGACAATGTCCCCCACTGATTGCACCACAAAATGTTCTGCAAGATTGTTACTTAAAATCATGTGCCACGACAAAAGTTCAAGGCTAACAATATTGAAGCGGTTGAACGAGAAAGGCATAAAGGTCATCCAGGAGTTTAAGGATGATGTAACTTCAGGCGGATAAGCAGATCCATGAGCTCATTGGCAGCGTTTTCCTGATTTTTCCATATTTTTACATGTTTACATAATCAGCGTTATCGATGGTGATGTATTTGTATGCAGTGGGAAGAAAAAAAACTATGACGCGCATTAACCAGTAAAAATAGCACCCAAGGGGGACAAAACAAATTATATTACACAATAAGAAGTATAACATGAAAAAAAAATTGTAAAATTACACTAGTGCCATAACAGCAGCGAAAGGGCGCAATTTCCTAACCTAGGCAAGGGGTATATAAGGAGGACCAGTATATACCAATACATTCGCTTTCGTTTTAATAACCGACGAAAGTCACCTAATGATGTGAATTTCATTTGATGAAATAAAATATAGAAACGATTAAAGTTGTTAGGAAGACGCTTTGAAAATTTAACTGAGTTCTTATAAAAAGGTTAATACGTCGATAATGAAACCTTTGCAAGAAAGGTAAATTACAGACTGGGCGTTGTTGCCTTAGACTCTGGCTGTAATTATTTTTACTTATGTTTTGCGAGAATTATTATTAGTAATATAGCAACTGCTTTTTTTTGAAATCGTAAGCGATGAAAATAAATGCATCATCAGCATACTGTGAAGTCAGATATAGAATTTGATACTCATATTGGGGGGTATATAACGGTCTGTTCTACCCTTTATATACTTTTAACCCAACGCTATTCGTTGGATACTCTGAAATAGTTTATTAATTTGCATAAACTACTATTAACTAGTTTTATAAATAATTAAAAAACTAACAAACTACCTGAGTTGCAAATGTGGAAATTTCATAGTTTTGGTGATTGTGCCATCCTTTTGAAATGTTGTTTGCTCTTTTCAAAACTCCATTATCATTCAATAAAGGTTGCTCCACAGATTCATTAAATATGGCGCTAATTTGATCAGTGGATATGATTGGAATATCATCTATCTCGCCCATATGTGTATTCTGCGGAGTAGTTTGTCCGTGGTCTAGGCCAGTTGGCGTTGAGTCATCTTGATTGTAGTCATCCCCCATATCATGAATCGCATTTCTTGGTGTTAATGGCAGATCGTTTATTGACGAGAATTGTTCGATTTCATTTAAGGATAATAGGTCTGGGCTTTCCATATTATCGAATATGGTTGATTCATTTTGACAACTTTCGTGCTCTTTTGCAATTTCTAATGAAGTGCCAGATACCCCTAAAGATTTTTGGTCTTCTCTTAAAACTTCAGGTGCCTCTAAACTCTGAGTAAGTGAATCTGCTACGTGATCCAAAAACTGATTATTTAAAATATCATTCTTACGCTTGCGACCTTTTTTATTAAAAATAATAAATGCATTCTCGTTTTCTTTTGCATAATATTCCAATGCAAGTATTTCCATAGGCGCAACACTTGAGAAGTCTTCAATTAATGTTGAATGTGAGTATAACTGTCTATTATAATTAGTAAGTAAGGATCTGGCTGGTATATATCGTGATGGTAATGAAAACAATTTTTCAACACCTCCAGTTTCTTTCCAATACATTAATCTGAAAATTAAAGAATTTGTATATTATAGTTATCACTATATAACTTAGCTAACCTCTTACCTTTTTGTAGGCGGAGCCAGATCAAGTGTTGTTATTATATCAGACGTATCGGCTAATTGAGCCTTCATTTCTTCTCCAGAAATATTTTTTATTTCGTCAATTATAAGTTTTCTTTTGCGTTTTGCCTTTGTTACGCCCCTATAAATGGTTGCATCAAGTGGAGCTAGAGCGAATCCCTCATCCTCGTTTTGGGGGTGTGTTATTTCATTTATCTTATTATTATTAGGCACATTGGCGTGTTCATATAATTTAGTTTCTAAAATAAATATACATATCTTTTAACAACATTTTAAAAGTAACAAAAGACAAATGAAGGATAAATCAAAAAAATATATTTTTAGCCGACACAAATATAGTCCAGGGTCTTAAAAACACATATTAAAGAATGATAAACATTCATAGTTGTACTTGCATCTGTTTAAGTTTCCTTAGTTTTTCGCAACATTATAATCAAAATTGGGGTTTATTTGGTTGTACAGTGGCTCACAGCATAATTCGTGCAGTTGCCTAAAAAAAGTTATATTTATTCCGTTATTCCTGCTAATCGATTTTCTTAATGCACAGGTTTTTTTCATGCAGGTTATTTTGTGGAACAAATTCTACTTAACTTATTATTTGTAATTTAACATTTTTTGTATATTTTTTATGCTCTACTTTCAGTTTCAGAACAGCTTTGAGACCATTTCCCATGGGGGAAACTAATTGGTTTCCATTGGAATTTTTGGCCACTCTTTCATAAGAACAGTTTTCCGATCGTTTTTGATCATAATCTTACTCTTCCTTATAGCCTTTTCCAATATTTCCTATACATTTTCGATCACATTTAAATCTGGAGACTGTGCTGGCGTTATAACGACATAAGGGCAGTTCCAGATAAGCCAAGATTTCACAATTCTTGCTGTATGCTTCGGATCGTGGTCCTAGTAAAATCGAAAACGATCAGCAGGAAGAACGACTAGAACTTTTTTTTAAGGTAACTGCATGAAATAAGCTACGAGCCAGTGTAAATTTGAGCAGTCGAATGACTTTCGCCTGATTTATTATTTATTAAATAATTTAAATCTGAAGTCGTAAACAATTACATATTATTTAAAACTCTTTTATTTTTCGATATTCGGCTGACATGCAATAAAAACAAGACTATTGGAAAATTTCAAAAAGATAGCTTTATATCCGAGAAACTTAAATGGAAAATCAGAAAGTATATGCGTATATATCTATGTTATATATACTGAAATCAAATTAGCCTTTAAGCATTAATATAATAAAAAATACATATATCTTACCACCTTTTTCCTCAACATCATTTATAAATGATGTTGCTGGTGACGGAACATTATTACAATCATCAATGGCATCTTCATCAGAATCATCCGCGTTGGTAACAGCAGTAGGGTCTTTAACTAACTGCTCAACTGGTTGTGCAGGTTCGCCAAAAAGGTCATCTTCAAAAAGTTCTGGTTCTGAAAAAAATAATAATTATAATGTTACGTCAATTACAGTATGAATAATTTTATAAAACTCTCTTCGGCAAAAATAAAAACCGTGAAACAGAAACAAAGAAACAATAGTTTTTATACCCGTTACTCGAAGAGTAAATGGGTATACTAGATTGATTGAAAAGTATGTAACAGGTAAAAGGAAGCTCTTCCGACCCTATAAATTAGATATATTCTTGATCAGTATCAAAAGCGAAGTCGATTAAGCCTTGTCAGTGTATCCATCCGTCTGTTCGTCCGTCCGTCACGACATCCGCCACGGCTTGCTCGGATGTAGTCCAATCTGGACGTCCAATTTTCGATGAATGTAACGTTCTGGCCATCATCGTTTTTGAAGAAGTACGGCCCAATGATTCCACCAGTTTTTCTGGATGTAATTGTGTTTTGCCGTACTCTTGAGGATTAGCTTCAATCCAAATAACAGTTTTGTTTGTTGACGTAGCCATTCAACCAGAAGTGCGCTTCATCGATTTTGTCGACGATAAAATGGACGTATTATTTACGATTGTTTTTGAAATAAAATTTCACTATTTGCAAGCGTTGCTCAGGCATGATTAATTGCCAAACCAAATTGAAAATAAATCCATTGACAGCTCTTAAATCGGTCGCCATATTGAACAAAAGTTCAGATTAAGCGCCACCTATTGTCAGAGGAAGTATGTTGAGTATGCTTATAGTGACGTCACTGCCCATGTGAGGCCTTATAACCTTAATTTCTTTATAAATAGCGAAATAATGTTCCGATTTGAAAAATCTTTGGTAAATCTAGATATTAAGATATTAACAGAAATAAGTTATACAAGGTCAAGGCCACAGTTTTCCGCGGTTTTGTGGGCGTTAGAATGGGCGTGGCCGGATGCAACTTCGTGGAAAGTTGCAAAGGCATCTCTTAAATACGTGTTTCTAAGCAAAATTGTGTAGCTCTCTAATTTTCGAGATTTTTGCATTTTTGTTTTTTCGGGTTTTGTGGGCGTTAGGGTGGGCGTGTTTGATAGGAAAAAAACAATTCGCATTGGGAGCATCATAAAAATCTACATGCTTAATCCGAACTTTCTATCTCTTATAGTTACCGAGATATCAGCTTTTCTAGAAATTCCGAAAACCTTTTCCTTTTGAGCCTTGTGGGCGTATGGGTGGGTGTGGCCGGATAGTAGTACCACTATAAGATGCGCTGGCATCTAAAGATTATACTTTCTGAATTTCAACTTTCTAACTGCAATAGTTCCTGAGATTTCAGCAATTTTAGTTTTTTGCGATTTGTGGGCGTTAGAGGATGCTGTAATAAACTTGCGCTGTCCCGGGACCTCAAGAATCTTCATGCTTAATCTCAACTTTGATCTCAGTGTTCATACGGACGGACGGACGGACGGACGGACGGACAGGCGGACATGGCTCAATCGACTTCGCTATATCTAGCATAATAATAATAAAATAAAAACTAATAATTTCACAATTTATAATTGATGATTTGCACTCTTAAGAGAAAATAGATTTAAAGCAAGGGCTTGAGATACACACCGGAATGGAAAACATAAAAACCCAGCGCACTGATTTTAAAGTCAGTATTACTACGAGAATTTAAAGAAATGGGCAACCGTACATTACGAAAAGTACAAATAGCGCTACTTTCAGAGGTGACCATAGTAGACAAAAACAAAAAAAGAAAAGATAAGAGAAATCTTAAAAAATTTCATGATGATCTAATCGAGGCCATTCAGGAATAACGAGAACATTATCAAAAATAAGGCTACATTACTATTGGTTAAACATGACAAAAGTAGTTACTAAATACGTAAAAACCTGTCAGACTTGTCAACAATCTAAGACAACCACTCATACAAGAACGCCAATTACCATTACCGAGACACCCACATCAGCTTTTGACACGGTATAAATTGATACCATTGGCCATTACCGCGTTCGGAGGAGGGAAACGAATACGCAGTCACAAGTATTTGTGATTTAACTAAATACTTAGTAACAGTACCAATTCCGAATAAAAGCGCAAATGGCGTTGCGAAAGCAATCTTTGAAAACGTTATACTCTTTTACGGCCCATTGAAGATCATTCTAACAGACATGGCACAGAGTATAAGAACAGTATAACAGGAGACTTATGCAAATATATGAAGATTGACAAAATTTCATCGACTGCACACCACCATCAAACCTTAGGGACTATTGAACGTAGTCACCGAATGTTTAACGAATATGTCCGTTCATATATTTCAAGTGACAAAAGTAATTGAAATTAAAATTTAAGGTCATAGGTATGGACGATACGAAATTTGAGTAATAAGGCCCACGGCTTGATCGAAAAAAAACAATTCGCATTGGGAGCATAATAGAAACCTACATGCTTAATCCGAACTTTCTATCTCTTATAGTTACTGAGATATCAGCTTTTCTAGAAAATCTGAAAACAGTCTTTTGAGCCTTGTGGGCGTATGGGTGGGTGTGGCCGGATAGTAGTACCACTATAAGATGCGCTGCCATTTAAAGATTAACTTTTTGAATTTCAACTTTCTAACTGCAATAGTTCCTGAGATTTCAGCAATTTTAGTTTTTGGCGATTTGTGGGCGTTAGAGTGGGCGTGGCAGGATGCTGTAATAAACTTGCGCTGTCCCGGGACCTCAAGAATCTTCATGCTTAATCTCAACTTTGTATCTGCTATAGTTCCTGAGATCGCAGCGTTCATACGGACGGACGGACGGACGGACAGACGGACATTGCTCAATCGACTTCGCTAATGATCCTGATCAAGAATATATATACTTTATAGGGTCGCAAAAGCTGTTACATAATTTTCAACGAATCTAGTATACCCTTTAAGTCTACGACTAACGGGTATAAAAATTTATAATCGAGCAGGAGGATATAGATATTGCTGGAGATATCGGATTCTTGGACAGGATGGAATTGGTCCGAGGACCATTTTAACGCAACGAAATGAGGTAAAAGGAGCGAGAATAAGAAAGGACGATGACAGTAATGCGACAGCTTACGTGTGCTGAGATATAAATTTGTTCATTCACATTAAATTGAAAGAGAAAGTTTAAATAAAAGATAGATTAAAGATATTTAGATGACATTTTGATTTGAGAATTAATCGTTTTCGAATGAACAATTTACCCGTTTCTCAAGCGAAGCCAATTTACGAATCGAATAAAGTAAGCCGAACTACTACATATTTATAGGATCTTACTAATAGAAATGCCACCACACAGCCTCTAAAAGTTTATATTTCCCAAAGACATGAAAACTTCTTAGATGTGGGAGCTTTGTTTTACTTACGTCCAAAAGAATCGCCAAATCCATCACCGTCTAATCGAGTCCCAGATATATCTGCATGGTCAGTAGTTGCTTGTTGATCCAGTGTCTCAATATTATCCAAAATGTTACTGCCAAATAGCTTTTCCTATAAAAGAGTAAAAAAATAATTTATTTTAAATCGTTAAACCTGAAGAAAATGGCACTTAAATAATCTGACTATTAAAATACCTGTAAATTATTGTTGATAATCACAATTAACTTCGCTGTTTCTTAAAGCTCAGAATACTTCATATAATTAATTCTATTTAGCTTTAGTACAGATGATAGAAGAACCTTATTTTAATTTCAAAAACGGTAATCGGACTTAGAAAGTACAATGGTACTAGCTTTTAAATAGCGGTTTTTATAATACCTTACATTTAATATTAAATTATTTAAATAAGGCTTGACTCGGTGCGCTATAATCAATTTTAAGTCGCAGTGTCATTCCTTCGAACCTTCCTCTGATCAATTAATTCGTTTCTACAGCAATATCTATGTCCTTCTGCCCGCTTATAAAATTGACATTTGTTATTGTATGAAGAGAAGAAAAATGAATTTATTAAATGTAAATGGGATTAGCTAATGTATTTTAGTCGGATAATGGTACCACCTCAAGATGAGGAGCCATCTCAAGATTATGCATTCTTATTTCCAAACTTTTTATCTATTCTATTTCCTGAGATTTCAGCGATTTTAGTATATCGTCTTTTGTGGGCGTAAGAATGGGTGTGGCCGGCTCATTTAACTCGTGAGATTTGACCGATTTTTGGTTTACGTGATTTGTGGGAGTGGAAGAATGCTGAAATTTCTCCGCCGACTGCTTCAATTTTTGATCCGGTTTATAAACCCATCTTGATTTATAAAGTCATCTTTGTTTATAGAACCATCGATGAATACGAGATTTCCCACTACTTTTGTGAAATTGCACCCTTAAATCATAACACTTCCTCCACCGTGCTTCGTGGCCGATAAAATTACCTTGAGCTGCGGTGGCATCTAAAGCATATGCAACTTTAGCGTTTATGGTTTTCAGATTGTCAGATTGGTAAAAAATAATACACTTTAGTGGCATCACGTGCTTAGTCCCAACTTTCCATATGTTATAGTTAGCGAGCTATTCGGTTTCTTAGAGAATGCGGCTACTATTTTTCGATGTCAGAGGGCATAAGTGTGAACGCGGTTCCTGAGATATCAACGATTTTAGTTTTTCGCCTTTTGGGGCCGTTTGCGGAAATGGCTTGATGAAAAACCTTGATGCGAAAAACGTAAGCCGTATTCTTTAAGAACGCTGATAAGTATACAAGACAAACATGTAAATTCTAATGATGCACCAAATGCGTATTGCACCATCTAGCCACGCCCACCCTAACGCCCAAAAAACCAAAAACTATAAGAGCTAAAAAGTTGCGCTTAAGAATACGTTTTTAAAATATGCCTCTGCAACTGGCCACGCCTACTCTATGTACTCTCATAAAACGCGGAAACCCAAAACGGATTCTTATCTTTAACTATAATATCTTCTTGTTTTTATACCCGTTACTCGTAGAGTAAATGGGTATTCTAGATTCGTTGACGTACGTAGAAACGCTGAGATCTCAGAAACCATATACAGGGACACCTTGGTAATCATCTAAAGTTTCAAGATATCGCAGAATTACGGTTTTTTCGCAGTTGCTGCATTTAACAAAAAGTAATGGAACAGAGGATAATTGATTGACCTGGAATCGACAATAGGTATAGATCTAATTCTTATTTTCTCTCAAGAAAAACTAGAACCGAAAATGAATTACTTCCGCGACTCAACCAACCCTATTGGCGAAATGAACAAAGATTCAGGTAAATGCAAGAGTCAGGCGAAAAGCGAGGGTTCAGAAAAAAAGAAGAAGAAAGGTGTAGCAAGCGAAGTATATAATTTTAATTACATAAATACATACATTGTATATGCCCATACAAACTAACACATTCCTTCTCAAGTGTCCGGAGGCAACAATGGCTTAATCCAATGTTCAATTTTTAAAAAACTGCGCGCAACCTCATTGGAGAGGAAAACACAATAGAAACAATTGTGGCAAAGCTGAGTAAATCAGTCAAAGGAGAGTCGGTTGAGGTTTTCTCAGTCAAACTCATGAATTTGCAGCAGAAAAACAAAACAGCAAATGAATATGCCAAAGAAATAGAAGATCTGACCAGAGCATTACAAGCTTATATAAACGATGGCTTACCACTAGAATTAACATCTAAATATAGCACCCAAAGTGCTGTGAAGGCAATAACAAGAAACTGCTCAATTGATAAGGTAAAACGTTCACAAATATAAACGAAGCCGTAACTAAGTTTGTCAATAGTTGTACCAAAGCAACAGGGCAATCGAACGACGTATTATTTTATAATATTCAGTATAAACAAAACAATTACCGAGGAAATAACATATATCGGGGGCAGAGGAAACCTTGGCTATTATCACAACACACCGCAAGGAACCCACAGCTCCTCAAACCGCGGAAATAACTATAATCGAAATGTTAGGGTCACACAGGAAAACGAGGAGGACCCCTTGAAAGTAGAGAAAAACCAACAAAAATGTAACAATGTTAGTAGATACGGGAGCCGAGATTTCATTGCTTAAACAATGTAATCAAGAGTACCCCGAATTAGACAATTCTAAAATTTCTAAGAAATAGGACAAGGTTCTATAAAGTCCTTGGGTTTAGCGTTAGAGGAGCTTAAAACAAAAAATGTCATTTTACCACATGACTTTCAAATAGTCCCACCTGATTTTCCGATTCCATGCGATGGCATTCTGGGAATAGACTTCATTAAAGAATTCAACTGTATCTTATATTTTCAAGACTCCCAAGGTTCTTTAGTATTAAGACCTAATAACCTGACTTTTCCAATATAAATCCCAATGCACAATTCGGTTTTCAAAAATACTCTCTTACTTCCATGTAGAGCAGAAGTAATTAAAACCGTAAAAATTAATTCAAAAGAACCGTCTGCTTTTATTTCGAACCAATAACCATTTAAAGGTGTGCTGGTTCCGAGCACATTGGTTAACACGAGTTGTGCAACAGTCCGATATCTAAATACAAACTCTGAAACAATTAGTTTAAATGTTAATATACTACAATTCGAATCGTTAGAAAACTATGATATACGAAAGCCCAAGGAACTCAAACCCAAGTACAGTAATGATAGAAAATAAAGAAGTATTAACATAACTATGTTTTCCCTCTCAAATTCAAACAAAATTATCAAAACTGTGTACAACTTGTAGCGATATATTCGGTATTGAATTGGAGCCGATATCAGCTAACAATTTTTATAAACAACAACTTCGCTTAAGCGATAAAACACCATTATATATAAAACATTATAGAAATGCAGAAAGTGAAAAGCCAGAAATAAACAAACAGATTGACAAATTAATAAAGGATGGTATAGTCGAACGATCAATTTCAGAATATAAAAGGATATTATTGTTGGTTCCAAAAAAATGTCTACCAAATTCAACAGAAAAACGATGGAGACTAGTGGTTGACTATAGACAAATAAACAAACAAGAGGAAACGCTATAGTCGAGTGCCACGATACCCGTTACTGTTTTACACAATTTTAAAATATTCATTTTGCTAGCTGAAATTACCCAAGCACCACCTATTGTCGGAGAAAGCATGTCGAATAACTGATAGTGACGTCACTGACCATGTGAGGCCTTATAACCTAAATTTCTTCATAAGTAGCGAAATAATGTTCCGATTTGAAAACTCTTTGGTAAATCGATAGATATTAACAGAAATATTTTAGTTTTTCGCGATTTGTGGACATTAGAGTGTACGTGGCAGGATGCTGTAATAAACTTGCGCTGTCCCGGGACCTCAAGAATCTTCATGCTTAATCTCATCTTTGTATCTGTTATAGTTCCTGAGATCTCAGCGTTCATACGGACGGACGGACGGACGGACAGACGGACATGGCTCAATCGACTCCGCTATTGATCCTGATCAAGAATATATATACTTTATAGGGTCGGAAACGCTTCCTTCTATCTGTTACATACTTTTCAACGAATCTAGTATGTAACTATAAGTGGTAGAAAGTTGGGATTAAGCACGTAGGTTTCTATGATACGAATAGCTTTGTTTGCATCTAGCCACGCCCACTCTAATTAAATATACAAAATAATTACTTCAAAATCAGAAAATAAAAACCAAAAATTTTATATTCAAAAGGCACTAGAATCTACTAAAAAATCAGCTCATACACTATTAAAAAATAGATTTTGAATTGTTAAATTATTTTAAGAAACAAATAATTTTTATTGAATCCGATAAAAATGAAGTAGAGCATTCAACAATATTCGGCAACTCCATTACGACAATTGAATATAATGTAATGACATTCGAAAAGCCAAACAAACCCAAATTACTAAAGGCAGACAGAGACTGAGCTTTCTCCAGCTTGACTTTAAAGCGATGCACAGTGGCTGGATTTGCCAAAGTTGAGGCAAAAAGTCAAAAAATAAATATTGATCTACAGAAAATAGATTTTAGTACATATATTATAACCAACAACTGTACCAATTTTTAAATCCCTAGGGACTGTATTTTACAACTCAATACAGCTAAGAACGGCATAGGAGACGTTGAAAATTATGAACTACATAAGACAATAAATGAAAAAATCAGAATAATCAATTCATCCGACGATGAAGAATTAAAAATAAACAATATAGAAACAATCCTTTATACAGACAACCATAAAATTAAACATGACATCACCGGATACGCAGGGGGCATCCAAAAATTGACACTCAAAATATTAAACAAATGAAAATAGGTAAATTAAATGCAGAATTTAACATTGACATTCTGTATCTAGAAAATGTCCAATTCAAAAAGGAAAATTAGAAAATCCATTTAAAGCAAATAAAAATGTAGAAAAAAAAAAAAGGAAGACAATTTATTGTATACAATCATATCTCAATCGATCATAAACTTTTGCAAGCAAGGGGCACCACAAGAAAGATTTTTGTAACAAGAAAGCAGTCTTAAGCTGAGATCAATCAAATAAAGTCGTGAATTTAAATCTAGCGTTATCCTT